TGGGCATTCGCCTTATACCCCAAGGCAGTGGGGAATGGGTGATCTTGCTTCAGTGGGGAAAAAGCTGCATGTACATTCTGTCCTAACAGACTCTTTCAATGCCATTTGTTTAAACTTTCTCATGCTGTGTGAAATTCACCTCCTGTGATGGTAGGGATAAAAGTAAGGGTGAATCTCCTTCCATGTTTAGCTGTATAGGGCATATGAAACATAGTTCAGCTGTTCTGATTTCACCCAGCAGAGGGCAGAAGGAGACAGATTTGAAGCTGAGTAGCGGCCAAAGCCCCCTTGCAACTTCTGCCCTGCTTCCACTTGTTGGTCACACCCTTTTCCATCGTAATAGGCCACTTGAGTTGCTCCCCAAACCATGCGGAGCAGGATTCTGCCCTCGGCTGTCCCAGAACCACCCCTCTGACTCATCACCGCATGCAGCCTAGGGCAGCCATCAGGGGCTGATCCACAGGGGTGGCTATAACTCGATTTCACTAGTTTTTGGTCAACCAGTGGCTTTGCAAAAGAAGGGGGGGGGAGGGAAAAGAGCATTGGAGCCAGCTGCTGAATGGGAATCCTGGACTGGCCTAGCCTGGCCCATGATTTGCGGGGAGTCTCCCTCCTTTGGGCTCTGGCTTCAGCTCCCATGGTGACTCAGGCTGCTGCTTCAGGTGCGCACGGAGCTATTTCACAGCTCACACTGTCATCACCGCGCAGGAGTTTTCAACAGCCTTATTCAGGCATCTGGGCCACCAACCAGTCGGACAGCCACCCTGCCTGGCTCTCCTCCCTATTCACTGCTGCAATTAAGCTAGATTGACACAGGCGCCTTGCCTAATCCCTTTGCGGTTTGCTTGCCCAAGAGAAAAGTTGTTACTCAGTCAATAACACCGTAGGTGGTGCCAATGCTACAGAGCCTGCTTGGCTCCATCCAAGGATCGGGGCTTGTCCCGTTCGAGAGCAAACACATTTCGGTCTCTTGTGGCTCCTTTCAAGGTGCAAACAGCTGCCACTGGGCAGCGAAAAGTTAATCATTGAGCAAAGCTGGCCGTGATGGAGACGAATGCCAGAGATTATCCCTTCTTGGGTGTGCAAACAGAGTCACTGTTCTCCAGAGCTGTTCATAAACCCATCGGTTTTGTAATCTGCCCCGTATTATTAACCCACTGCCGTTTCCTGCCAAAGGCCTGTGTTACCTTCCTTCCTCAGGACCTTTCTAATCACAGCCTTGTCTTCACTGCGGAGAAAGGTGGGAGGGGTTATCTCGGGGACCTTATCTCCTGGAGGGCAGGTCCATCCTTCCTGGAGGAGAGGCCCATCAGTGACTAGGAGCCAGGCTGGGAAGGGAGGGTGTCCTTAGTTTCTGCCAGAGGCTGGGAATGGGAGACAGAGGAGGGATCCAGTGAGGATTCCCTGTTGCGTTTCTCTCCCCCTGGGGCACCTGGTGCTGGCCGCTGTCGGCAGACAGGACACTGAGCTGGATGGGCCTTTGGTCTGACCCCGAGTGGCTGTTCTTGTGTTAGGGCAAGTACATAAAGTAGGTGGCTCAGGGGGTGACTCACACCCCCCCGGTGATGCAAGAGACACCGACATGCACCGGTGTGGACAGTGCCATATACAGGCCTGTTGATGGGGGGGAGTCAAGGGGGCAATTGCTTTGGGGCCTGGTGATTCAAAGCGGTCCAGAGCTCCCTGCAGTGGCCAGCACCCCTGGCCCTATAAATCGCAGCTGGAGAGCTGTGCAGTGCACTCTGGGCGCCTCTGAGGGCTGGCTGCCTGGCCCCGCCCTTTCTTCCCAAGGCCACGCCCTTTCTGCCCAAGGCCCCGCCCCTTCCGAGGGTGCAGAGCTGCCGCGTCCCCACACAGCTTGCCTGGAGGCTGTCGGCTCCCCTGGCCATATAGGACTGGTCAGTATGAAACGTCACAGCTGTTGCTTTGGGTCCCCCTAGTGGCGTGTCTGCTGCATTACATGGCCTGTGGTACTCGGGTGCCGTGGGACAGGTGCCTGCCCTTTCGGGGTGTAATCCAAAGCCCTTTGAAATCAGTGTTGGAAGCTCCCCATTGGCTGACGTCAGCAGGCGCAGACTCAGTCCCTAAATGCCTAGATGGACACGCTCAGAGGACCACAGAAATGCCAGGCTGGACGGGACCTTCTACAGAGCTAGCCCCCTGCGCTGAGGCAGGACAAAGGAAAACCAGGCTCATCCCGGACCGGGGTGTGTCTGTGTTTGTCTTACAGACCTCCAAAGATGGGGCTTCCATGTTCTGGCCTCCTGGGAGAGCCAGTTCCAGAGTGTAACTCCCCTTGTTGCGGGAAGTTTTCCTTCATATCCAGCCTGTCTCCCTTGCTCCCTTTTACATCTTGTCCTACCTTCAGTGGACATGGGGAACAATTAGTCCCACCCTCTTTGTAACAGCCCTTAATACACTGAAAACTCTTCACAGCCCCGCCCTCCCCCCGTTTGCTTTTCTCAAGACTAAACGTGCCCAGTTATTTTAACCTTTCCTCGCAGATCAGGTTTTCTAAACCTTGGACTGTTTCTTTGTGTTGCCGCTGGACACTCTCCAATGTGTCCACATCTTCCCTAAGGTGCAGTGCCTAGAATAAGGCACGTTACTCCTTGCTAACGCCTGGCCAACTAAATACACAGATTTAAGTTTCATAAATACCCCGGGAGTCATTTTAATTCTTCACAGTGAAGTACTTTAGCACAATCACTGTATGAATGCTTGTAAAAATAACCATGTCCCTTGTCCAGTGGCGCGTAAGGACCTGAAACTCTAGAGCCGGTCATGCGAGAGTGTGCGATGCAGGCCTTGATACTGTGGGGGTTTTATTTCTATGGCCTCCTCCCTCCTTGTTTCCCCAGCTTTGGGTAATCGCTCTTCCCCTTGCACCTCGGGGGTGTAGATCTCTTTGAGACCCATGGGTGACAGTCACTCATCAAAGGGGAAAATATTGTGACGAGTCTTGCGATGTGAGCAGTACAGGGTCTACGACACACCTGGGAGGAGTTCTCGTTGCGTCCAGTAGAAGATGGCACTCTGCAGTTCCCGTTGTCGGTTCCTTGGTTGGTTTCCTTACCTGCCTCCTGAATTTGTGCTGGTGGAGACCTGGGCTCTTTGGCTCAGCGGGATGTAGATGTGGGCAGTGCATCTCATGAGTCCACCTGGAGTTTATCTGCCCATTCGAGTCCTTGCCCAGGTGTTCGGAAGGCCCGGTGTTTAGTTCCTCTGCTGTCAATGGCCTGGCAGGAGAGAGGTTCCATGGGTTGGATTCTGGGTCCGGAAATCTTACTGCCTGGGCTAGCCGGATCCCACTGTAATTCGGAGGCAGTCCAACACAGCTGGGGAGACTGGTGCTGAGCGGAGCTCTGTGCCAATGAGGAATAACTCCACGAACCCTTGGAGATACATCAGAGACCACCAGGGGTTAACTCTGAGCGAATGACTCAGACCCCCGTGACGGTCTGGAATGGCCTGCATTGCTAGCGAGGTGGGGCGGGCCAGGGAGGACGAGAGGGACGTGGATCTCTTGGACATGCACCGGAAACGAGGGATTGGTCCCAGCAAACATCCCTGAGCTCAGCTGGCTTCCTCCCTTTGCTGCAAGCAAACAGCCCTTATCGCGCTGCGCAAATAACCATCCGCTTGCCCCAGGCTTGCCAGCCCCTGCAAGGAAGAGTGTCCCTCACCTGGCCAGACAGGAGGGGTGTATGTAATTTACGAGGTGTCTGGACTCACGTTTCTCACGCCTGTGGGTGTCTGCGGCAGGGTGGAGTCCGGTGAGGCAGGAAGTCCCCTAAGCAGCTTTGTGGATTGGGGAAAAAGAAATCACTCGGCTCGCCTGTAGTCTAGTGCTGGAGCGGCTGTATAAATCCTAGCACCAGCTCATGGCGGACGGTGTTGTTACCGCATCCAAGCGTTGCCTTGTTGACAACTGCCGACCAGCTGCTGGGCACTCCTTACATTGAGGAAGATTATCCTTACAATGTAGCCATGTGGAGTCATCTCTGCAAACGCCAGCAAACTATGAGCACATCCTATTTCAGGCCCAGACCCCAAACTTCCACGGAGGTCAGTTCTATGTAACCTGCTGAGGTGCAGTAGGTCGAAATGCATCATAGGGTGTCCCTAAGCGTGGTTGGGAGAAAAGAGAGATGCAGGGCAGAAGGACTGACGGCTGAAAGTTGGAGGTCTCTGGGGGAAGATTTTGATGATTTTATTAAAGGGAGGGTTCGGATAAGTAGGAAGCCAAGAGAAGAGATGAGCCATGGGATGAGAGGCATTGGAAGGGGTTAAGGAATCAGCTAAGGGCAGAGAAGCAGGAAAGGAAGTTGGTGGAAGCAGCTTTAAGGAAGGGAGATACCACCAATGTTGCTTCTATTTTTTTTCCATCCATGTGCAGAATAAATTTTGTTATGTGCACCAAGGCATGTGTGGATGTGCACCAGCAACAGACTCTCATGCTGCGGGCAGTAGGCACTCTGCTAATCAGCTGGGTAGCACTGGAATCTCTCCTGGGTGGCTGCCCAATCTCTTCACTTAAAGGAACACTGTAGGCCACCCACTGTGGAGGAACAGAGAGAAGAGGGGAGGGAAGGGTCTGGTGTTTTCAGAGACCAGGGAATGGCTCGAGGCAGCAGGTTGGGCATCTAGAGGGGTATGGAGATTCTGGCAAATCCATGGAAGATCCTGAAGACCAAGAAGGAAGAGTCATTTGTAGGCTTCAGAAGATGGGGGTGGTCAAGCGGACGGCAAATTCATGACCTTTCCCCTCAAGCCAGCAAGTTTTGCAGCTGCCTTTCCCCATTTTGTACTGTAGCACACGTGTGCGTAGTGTAGTGTTGTTGGCCATGGACTTGAAGGACTCGTGTGGAAAGCACTCCGGAGTCCTTGACCCATTTCTCTCTCCTGAAAGAAAATCCAACTCCAACTGGGCCGGTTTTGATCTGTTCTTTTCTTCTTTCAGATGTTTGGCTGTGGCTCCGTTGCTCAGATCGTGCTCAGCAGAGGAACTCATGGAGGCTTCTTGACTGTCAACCTGGCCTTTGGCTTTGCTGTGACACTCGGCATCCTGATCGCAGGGCAAATCTCAGGTACAAGGCTTCTACTGCAAACCCAAGGCTCCCTCTGGCTGTCAGCTCCTGGTCACGCACAGTTGGGGATCCAAAGGCAAAGGCCAATGGTGAATAGTTAATAACATCATTTCCTCTCTGCGGGCATGAAACCAACAAGCCACATTGAGGAGAAAACAGACCCCTTGGCTGGTCATTGGTTTCTCCATAGCTCTTGCTCTGTGCAATTGTCCATCTCCCCATTGTGGACTATCACTGTTGGTAGTCAATGGCAGACAGAGACAGAGAGAGGAGGTGTATAGCTAGATAGGGAGAAAGAGAGAGATGTGGACTTCTCTAGGTCCCTTCCTGTTCTAGTATTCTACATTAGATAGATAGAGTGTATATGGGGGGAGGAGAGGTGGATAGAGATAGAGAGGCATGTGTATACGTATATCTAGATAGAGATATACACCTATTTCCTAGATATACACCTATTTCGTAGAGCTAGAAGGGACCTTAAGTACAGTCCCCTGCCTTCACAGCAGGACTAAATACCATCCCCAACAGATTTGCCCAGATCCCCTAAATGGCCCCCTCTAGGATTGAACTCACAACCCTGGGTTTGGCAGGCCAATGCTCAAACCACTGAGCTATCCACCCCCTGTCCCCCCGCCCCCATAGAGGTAGATAGCTATTTAGCTAGCTAGATGGATAGCTAGCTAGCATGTACAGCGATAGATCGATCAAGCAACTTGTTCTTGCTAAGAGCCGCACTGGCTCATAGAAATTCGAGGTGGAAAAAGGCCTGTGAGAGCATCGATTCCTTCCCCCCGTCCCGTTCCCTGCCGTATACCCTCATGTCCCTGCAGACCAGGTATTGCTTAGCTCTGGGCAGGTGGAGTACTCTGTCTATCCCAATGAACAGGGCTCACTCTGGCCTGGTTTCCAGCGGCTGCACCGGGTTGCAGTGGGCTTAACGTGCGTATGGGCCTTGTATGCAGTCGCCTACCAATCCCTACGGGCCAGCTTAGGGTGTGAACCCTGCAGTCGCAGACGGCTTCCCGCCCCAACTGCCGCCGCACATGTCCCGGGAACGCAGGCACGTCTTCCGGAGCCCGTCTCTCTCCCTTTCCGTGTATTCTGGGGCCGGGTCCTGTGCTCCCAGCACACTAACGAGAAAATCTTTCCCAGGTGGCCACTTGAACCCTGCGGTGACCTTTGCGATGTGCCTCATGGCCCGGGAGCCCTGGATTAAGTTGCCTATTTACATTCTCGCACAAACCATTGGTGCTTTCCTCGGAGCAGGCATCGTCTTTGGCTTGTACTACGGTAAGTGCCAGCCCTCTGGCTCTGTGCTCTTGGGCTGTGAAAAATGTCTGCCCGGCCCGATCGGAGCATTTCCCAGGGGAGGGAGGCAGGGAGGCTGATGGCCACATTGGTGCTACGCTGGGTGCTGCCGGGGGGATCTCATACTCAAGGCTTAATGCGAGTGTTATCGAATTATGGGCTGGAATCATTCCGACCAGACGCCGGTGCAAGCTGCCCAGGGCACGGCAGAAGTCCGGTTCTGTGAGGCTCAGGAATGTGCGTGATGGACAAATACGGGGTCTCTCTATTGGCATCTCCAGAGGGTTTCCGTCCGGATGACTCCTTAGGCTTCCCAAATAGCAGCCCTGCCCTGGGTTTGGCGGGGCTCTTGAGAGATCCGGCTGAGGAGAGTGGCCATGAATGACTCACCCAACCCCCGTTTCCTTTCTAGATGCCATATGGGCCTTTGGCAACAACCAGTTGTTTGTAGTGGGGCAGAACGGCACCGCCGGCATTTTCGCCACCTACCCGTCTGAGCATCTGGACGTACTCAACGGATTCTTTGACCAGGTAAGAGCCATGGGGCACTGCTAAGAGACCTCGCGGGACAGTCCTGGGCCTTTTGTGGAAGTGCTTTTGCGGAAAAGCGTCCGTGCCAATCTAGATGCTCTTTTCCGCAAACGCTTTTAACGGAAAACTTTTCTGTTAAAAGCATTTGCGGAAAATCATGCCAGTCTAGACGTAGCCCATGTGTTTCCAGGAAGCTATTGCTAAGGGTGAGGACATGTTCCCTAGTGTTCCCCAGTTGGTATTCCCTTTGGTGTTCCCCGTGCAGCCAAGTAATGGGGTCACATTCTTCTCTATGGGTCCATCTACACAGCAGTGTTATTTCGGAATAACTGGCATTATTCCGAAATAACGTAGTGTGCGTCTCGACGACAAGCCGTTATTTCGACATAATGTCTAGCTGGAGGACTTCTTACTCCAACTCCTGTAACCCTCATTATACGAGGAGTAAGGGAAGTCGGAGGAAGAGTGCTGTGTAGACAGTGCCAAAAGCCGAATGAAGCTTTTTCGACTTAGGCTACGCAATTGACGTAGCTGAAGTTGCATTGCTTATTTCGGCTTTAGCCCTGCTGCGTAGATGTGCCCTGACTCTGTCGCTCCAAAGGGTAAGTTCTAAACATGCCACATTTCATGCAGTAGCCAGGCGACTTTGTTCAATGACTGATCAGTCTCCACCAGACTCCTCAAACCTCAACCGCATCTCTCTTCCCCCTTCTGCTAGTTCATCGGCACAGCATCCTTGATCGTTTGTGTTTTGGCCATCGTGGATCCCTACAACAACCCTATCCCCCGTGGCCTCGAGGCTTTCACCGTTGGCTTTGTCGTCCTGGTGATTGGGACATCCATGGGCTTCAACTCTGGATACGCCGTCAACCCAGCCAGGGACTTCGGGCCTCGTCTATTCACCTCCATTGCCGGCTGGGGCTCGGAAGTGTTCACGTAAGTGCTTTCTCCACCGGTCAGATTACTTAGCAGGGGTGGGATCCAGGCCCAGGGTCACCAAAAAGTACCTCACCCACGCACTTCTGGAAGTGACCATGAGAACGGGACCCCTACACGGTCTCTGCATCTTGAGGCACCCTCGGGTCACATTAACAATCTTAGAGGGCATCCATGTCCCTGGAGATTTGGGGAGCAGTGAGAAGCAGAAGGAGCAGAGCTTTTTCCATTGATTAGAACGTATTCCCAGGCATTGCTATCAACCAGTATGCCCAGGAGCAAGCATGGGAAGGGCAGCCATTCCTTGGCCTTAAATTCTTTTGGAGACTTTCATGGCTGTTTCCAAACAGAAGTGATGGGGGAATAACAAGGGTCCCCAGCGCCTCTGAAAAGTTCTCTGGACCATCCAAGCACAGGGTAAAAAAATGTCAAGAGTCCTAAGACGACTTCGGCGTGTTCGTCCCATTTTCTAACGCGCCTTGGGTGTTAGGAGCCTATGTCTGATTGGGAATATTCTGACTTGGGTTATTCTGGTTCCAAATGCGGATGGCCTGGTCTCCATTCCTCATCTATCATTTGCTTGTGTCTTTCAGAACGGGCAAGCAATGGTGGTGGGTCCCTGTCGTGTCCCCTTTCCTCGGGTCAGTTGCTGGGGTCTTGGTTTACCAGTTGATGATTGGATGCCACGATGAACCGTCTCCACCCTCCACCGAGCAGGAAAATGTCCGGCTGGCCAACGTGAAGCAAAAGGAAAGGGTCTGAGAAGGCTGGCACCCGCAGCCGGCAGATATGGACACTTTTCAGAGGACTGCCGGAACCCAAGAAGAGAAGGCGAAGGAGGAAAAAGATTTAAGAACAAGAGACTCAAATACTTGAGATTGTCTGTCCTAGCTTCTTTGTACACCCTGATGCGTTTGCTTTAGAAATCTACCCACCCAAAAGCACCAGATAGTCTCATTTTGGTTAAGGGGGCTTGGCAGTGCAGCCAAGTGGTTAGAGTGCAGACCTGACTCAGGCTTCTCCATCGGCAGGGAGGGGATGATGAGACCTCCTCACACGCCCCTTTATAAAGGGCTGTGAGAGCAACGAACAAAAAAAACTCTACCTGCCAGGGAGAAGTGGTCGGCTGTTGAATTTATTCCTGGTGTAAGTCGCCTGAGGGCAATGGGGTTACAGTAGGGATGACTGTGGCCTATTCAATCTGCTGTGCATGCCATTAACAGCATGGCATGACGAGCCATACGAAGCAGACTTAGACTAGTTTTCGAGTCATGATCGAGAGAAAGCAACAATGCACTCGACTTTAGTTTTGTGTTAGGCCAAAACCTTTCCAAGCCCACTTGACCTGGCTTTTCGATCCTCGCCCTTCTCTATTCACTGTCACTGAAGTCAATATTTAGGAAAACCCTGATCCTCCAAAAGCTTGCTTGGGAAAGCTAAATGCTTTAGTGATTCTTCATCCTTACAGAGGCTTATCTGGGATTCCGAGCTTTGTATATATCCCGCAAGCAGCACGGCTCATGGTCGTGTTTGATTGAGAACATGGTGCTTGACTCTTGGCAAGGTTGTGTTTGTTCATGTAAATGTCACATTAGCTTGATGTATATAACACCAGGGTGGAGGTAATTCCAGGGTGACATAAGGGAGCTGTCTGCTACTTTCCAACAGTATCATTCATTCTCTTGCATTTTCAAAGTTCAGCCATGTTGGCGGAGAACTGCCAACACCCACGTCATTAGAACTGCGTTGATACCCATAGAGCATCTTAGTTCCATGTTATTAGAGTATCTCCAGTCCTCCTGGTATCATGGCTTAGATCAGCTTTGATACCCCTAATACCATCTTGGCGGAGAATCTCCAGCTCCCATCATGCCCCGCTATTGGTTCGTCTTGGCTACCAGTGATGTCATGTTATCAAAGAATCTCTGGCTCCCTTCAGCACCGTATTTAGAGACCCCTTTGATACCTGTCTCTTTAACACGTCAGTTCCATAGGTCTGTTTCTCCTATCCAGTGCGTCTTTACAATCAGTAAAACTTTATATCCTTTTGTGCTTTGCGTGTGCGTGTCACTGCCGAGATCGTAAAACGGCTGTTTCCGTTGTTTAAAAAATGTTGTTTGTTTTTCAACCGTTTCCCGTAAACGTTGACACTCGGAAAGTCAGCTGTGACCAAACTCGGCCTGTAAAGTTCTCTCAGCCCTTTTCACCGTTGGGGACTTTGTAAAAGAAAAGGGAAATCTAACTTTATTGGGCAAAATAGCTATATTCCCTTCTCCCACATGAATTGTACTTGGTGATGCTATGCAAAGATAAGGAGTATGGAAGGGACCTAGTGCAGACTTAAAATCTTGTGATTATGAAAAGCAAGAAGCCAGCCCTGTAGCATTGAAAATTGGTTCAGAGGTTTGCTGGACGACATGGCAAAGCACAGAGGAGTTGAACCATGCAGGCTTTGACCACCTTTTACAAATTAAGAGCATCATCTGAGGATGTGTCACCATATTCTTGTTTATATCCAAGGAACCATTCAAGTAGAGGAAATAAACAGAGCTTGCTTTGAATCTCAGCTCATTTCAGACTGATCTGGAAGGAATTAACCTTATTCTAGGTTCATGTGCAGATTTCAGGGATGTCTTCTCTGTATGGTAGAGAGTATTGAAGTCTACATAAAATCTTAGTACAAGGTTTAGAACTGATATTAAGCTCCAGAGGGAAAAGGAAGTGTCATGTTATGTACAGATGGCACCTTCAGCAGCAGCTGGTTTTCCTATCAAGTGGTAGTCCTGTTTGCATTCATGTTATGTACCTGGGGAAAAATGGTTGTGATAGCTATTCTATTCGTTCGTGCATTGTTAAAAATGGAGTCCTCCTTCCTTCTTCCGTGCTCAACTGTCCAAACAATGAGTATTTTTGGAGATACCTCTTCACCACATTGTTCAACTGTAAATGTCCTCAAGCTTTTGTAATAAATTTATTTTGAAATAAAAACAAAATCTACTGTTGTGAAGCCCCCTGTTCCGCAGCGAGGGTCATTAACATCTGGCTCACGCTGCCAATGGTTGTGATGGATTCTCGCTGAGCTGGAGACTCAGGCAAGATTGGATGTCTTTTGGAAAGAGATGATCTAGGTCAGTGGTTCCCAAACTTTTCAGCATCATGCCCCCATTTTGATTTTTGAGAAACCCTCACGCCTCCCACCCTCCACTCCCCAAGCACTGACCAGGGCCCTGGTACTCTAGGGGAAAAGTGGTTGTCCAAAAAAAAAAAAGAAAAGGTTGCCCTTTTAAGAGCAGAATAGGCATTGCCCTTTTATGGTGGACATTTTGAAGTCTGCCTGGGATGTTCTAACCTCCCCCCTCCCCAGCCAGCCTGAGCTGCACGTGTTCCGGTGAATGCCCGAGACAGGAAAAACAGAAAATAGACATTTCACATGGTATTTTCTGAATAATTTTTACCAGATGGATGTGACTCTTTCGTGGGGAGGGGGTTGATGAGGGGGGAGGCTGGGTTGCCTCGCACCCTCCTGGAATTTCTTCATGTTCCCCCCCGGGGGACACCCCCCCCCCCAGTTTGGGAACCTATGATTTACTTAAAAGCAGACTCCCCCACTGGGGAGCAACCACTTCTGGGGAGCAACACAGTGGCGCTTACAATGCACACAGTGTGGCTGTGCATCAATTTGTTTTACGGGCTGGAAGTGACAAAGAATAATGCCAAAATAATTCCAAAATCTTGGCGCCCCCCCCTCCCCCATCAAAATTTATTGCCCAACCCTGGCCTCAGACCAAGATCCCCAGGCTCCTGACTTCCACTGAAGCTAATGGCCTTGTGTCACTGAGGGTCTGTCTACACTACAAAGTTAATTCTAACTAATGGACGTTAGTTCGAATTAACTTTGATAGGCACTACACAAGTGCTCCGCTAGTTCAAACTTAATTCGAACTAGCGGAGCACTTAGTTCGAACTAGGTAAACCTCATTCTACGAGGACTAAGCCTAGTTCGAACTTACTAGTTCGAATTAAGGGGTGTGTAGCCCCTTAATTCGAACTAGTGGGAGGCTAGCCCTCCCCAGCTTGCCCTGGTGGCCACTCTGGCCAACACCAGGGAAACTCTATTGCCCCCC